AGATGGCCCACCTTTTTGGGCCAAACCAATGTATGCCTCCCACGTATTGATTTATGACTTCACCTGTAACCCCTGTCTCCCTAAAATGTATAAAACCAAACTGTAACCCAACCTCTGTGAGTCCACTGCTCAAGACCTCTTGGGCGTGGCTCCAGGTCATGGTCCTAAAATTTGGCTCAGAGTAAATCTCTTTAAAATTACTTTACAGAGTTTGGTCTTTTTTTCCCCGTTGACAATGATAAGACCAATAAATTCTATGAGCATGGACCCACTGCTATACTTCATTGCTGTGAAATGAGTTCCTTTATTAGAAGCAGTGCTGTACAGAATACAGCTCTCACAAGAGTGGATAGATGGTGGTGGATAAGGCATTCTGTAAGTCCATGGCTGGCAGTTTGGCAGAAGCACTTCATGCAGAGAAGGCAAATCCATATCCAAAGCGTCTATTCCATAAGAACAAAAAGGTGCCTCTTTCACAATGGAAATAGTTCAATGTAATCAACTTGCCACCAGGTAGCTGGTTGATCACTCCAGGGAATGGTGCCATATTGGGGGCTCAGCGTTGGTCTCTGCTATTGGCAGACTGGGTACTCAGCGGTGGCTATAGCCAGGTCAGCCCTGGTGAGTGGAAGTCCATGTTGCTGAGTCCATGCTTAACCTCTATCCCTGCCACAATGGCCACTTCGTTAACGAGACTACTGGGCAATGACAGGGGTGGCTAAGGAAAGAGGCTGTTATCCACAGAATGGGTCATCTTATCCAGTTATTAAAATCCTCCTGTGCTGAGGTCACCCTTTTGTGGGACTGACAAGGGAAACAAATGTTTACTTTTTTGCCCATTCAGAGAAGTCTATCCACATGCCTCTTCCCCAGACTTCCTTTTTGCCAATTTTCCAATTATGTTCCTTCCAAGTCCCTTACCATCCAGCCAAACCACTGGCCACAGCCTATGAATCAGTACATAATTACACATGTAGCCATTTCTCCTTCCAATGCAAATGAATAACCAGATACAGTGCACAAAGTTTTGCCCACTGGGAGGCTTTTCCTTCACCACTGTCCTTCAGGGATATCCCAGAAAGGAGCTTAGTGCTATAGCTCTCTCCTTTTAGGTGGTGCCTGCATATTATGCAGAACCATTTGTAAACCAGGCCTGAATTTTCTCTTCCACTACAGTAAGCCAAACTAGGCCTGTCATTTCTAACTTTACGGTGGCCTACCTTTTGGTACATGTGTCAGCCAACCAACCAATGAGTTAGAGTCCTTACTCCCTGAGCAACAACATTAAATGCAGAAGTTCTGCTCAATGGGCCCACATCAATACATTCAGCCTGATCCAATTTTATGTTTCTTCCACCTCTATCTCACACTTTTAATATTTATTCCCACACATATTCCCTGGATTTCTTGCTATACAAATTAGAAAGCTCAAGTAGTTCTTTTGGAGTATAGTGAACCTCAGGGATCACAATTTCTATCTAACCTTTAGGGACTACTAGGATTTGAGTCTAGTTATAGTTCTAGAAGTCAAGAGGAGTGATGGGGGTGGGTTCTCAGGCAAATCAGCACTGCCTTGCAAGGCAACTGCCTCAGGAGAGGTCATTACAGATTCCTCAGGCAATGAAAGGTTAATCCCCTAGGCAGGGTTGGAGACGCCACTTCTACTGGGGGTAGAGAGGCTGCTTCTACTGGCAAAGAAGACTCATCAGAATTTAGGGGCTCAATATCCCCAGTACCATCAAGGTCTTCCCATATGTCCCCATTCCAACTTTTGTGATCCTATTCTTTCCTAATCAGTGCTCTCACTTTAAGAGTAGACAATCTCTAAGGCCAAGAATTCAATTTGCATTATAATTCAGCCATTTACAGGATGAGAGTCTGAGTTTGATTTTCAGCAATCTCAGCCCTGCAGTTATAGGAGATAGGGCGAACATAGCCGCTTTCAGGTCACTTATATTGTACTTGAGCTGGGAATCCCTGAGCTCATCCTTTTCTTTTCCCACTTTGTCCAGCAACTTTAGGAACAACTAGCCAATCCCATTATACTCATTAGTTTTACAAATATGTTTGAAAGTATCATACACATGGTCACCCAGATCCATGCTTTTTTAAAGTGTCTGCTTAGGAGTATCTTATGGTGATATTTTGTGTATTTCTATTACCTGATCATGCCATGGACTATCACTGCTTTCTTAACTACTGGAAACAGGCATTCATCTCTTTAAAAATATTAGAGAGTCATTTTCAGAAACTCCAGAACCAATTCAGAAAATTCATCCTTGAGATTCGGTTCCACACCACCCCTAGTACCAGAATTTGTAGTTGTCAGGGTTCTCCAGAGAAACAGAATCAACAGGATGTGAATATATAAAGTGACAGAGAGAAGGAAATCTATTATAAGGATTTTGGCTCATATGTAGAGACTGGCAAATCCAAATCTTCAGTGTGGGCCAGCAGGTTCAAGACTCAGGAAGGCAGAGAAAATTCAAAGGCAGTTGGCTAGAGAATTCCCTCTTGGTTGACAGTCAATCTTTTTGTTCTTTTCAGACCCTCAACTGATTAGATTAGGCCCACCAACATTATGTAGGGCAATCTCCTTTATTCTACTGATTAACAATGTTAATCTCATCTAAAAATGCTCTCACAGAAACACCTAGAATAATGTTTGAGCAAATATCTGGGCACTCCATGGCCCAGTCAAGTTGACACATAAAATTAACCATCACAATTACTATTTTAAATATATCAGGTTATTCACAATGAATTTTGTAAGGATAAATTACAGGGAAAGGAAGCACTTGATAATCCACAGACAAAAAATTACAGGCAAAAAAATTCAAAGATTTTTTTCTATGATAATTACAATGTTAATAGGGCTTAAAAATGAATATGCATGGAAATCTAGTATCTATATATTGTATATTTTTCATGTTATTCTTCCCATTAGTTGTAATCCAGGTATCAGCTGAGAGTCTTCCTCTGGCCCCTTGAGATCTAGCCAAAATGTTTCAAAACCTGAGTTCTCAGCCTGCAAAAGTCCAAAGTCTGGTTCATATTCCTGCTAATTTCCAACAATAATAAATTCTCTTCACCTCTTCTGCTTCTTGAGTTCTGCTACGTTGCCCAGCCCTATGGTTCCAGACCACAGTGACCTCAACATGAGACTAACTTTCTTCAATTTCTACAAGAGAAACCCATATCAAGACTGAGTCTAACAGACTTTACTGGACACACTGGGCTGGGGCAGGCGTCACAACACTTAGTCTATATACTGCTGCCACCTTTCAAGTTCCTTCTTCTCTCTTCCTTTCATCCTTCCCTTTTCTAAGTGCCCAAAACTCCGATTTTTGTACTTCTTCTATGCAAACCAATTTCACCACCCAGGAGAGTTAGCTGTGCACTCCCCAAATTTTATTACAGGTTTGTTGGGCCTCTCTTTCCTTTGTTAGGGATAGAAATTTAGCCCGAGCCAGCTTAGGGCAAAAGGAAATTTTTTTGGCTCACTGAATCAAAGGACAGACTTCCAATCAAATTGCAGGAAGAGAGGGATTTAGCTAGAACCAGGGACTTACACTTGCTTCTCTCATTGCAGTCTGCCAACAAGTCCTAATTCTTATCTTTCAGCTTTCACCTATCTGGGAAGGGCAGTCTTACATTCCTTATTGCTCAAAGTTAAAAAATGCTGGGTAAGGATTCTGAATGGCTCAACTCAGCCAGCTGCCTATCCTTGCACCCCCTGCCTATAGTGTGTATGTTCCTGTAAGAACACAGAACTTTCCAAGGGAACCATATACTTAAGGAGGAGGGAGGGGCAATTTCCACGTAAAGCAGGAATTTCACCATAGACATAATACTCTGGAATAGTTTTGGCTATCCTTAAGTAAAATATGGGATAACTACTTCCCTAATTTGCACACCAGCAGTTTAAACCAAGTGTCATCAGACCACAGAGGAGGGGGCAATAAATATTGCCTGCCCAATAGCAGGGAGAAATACTTTCATAGAGGCCTCTTGAGGTGAGCCTTTAGGATTGAGTGTGATTTGTCAAGCCAAGAGGGGATTCCAGGGAAAGAGACTTTCAGGCTTGAGCAAATGGCCATAAATACCTCCTCTTCCAGACTTCTCCTTTCACATGCTGAAAAAAAAAAAAATGCATTTGAAGCCATCAGAAAACAAAAGATAAAGTATCATGTTAAAACAAGGGCAGATTAAATGATCTTTGCTTGAACTGAAACACAAGCTTTGTGAATAAGCCACTTAACCCTCTACAATTTGGCTCCCTCATCTACTACACAAGAATGGTAACAGTACCCTCAGAAGGCTCCAGTGATTATTAAATGAGACAATCCCCTAGTCAACGCCCTAATATATTATAAGCACTCAGTAAATGGAGAATATTAGCAATTATTTTACTCTCCTAAGTGTAGCCAGAAGGTTGTATTGAATGCTCAATGTCGGCTAGATTCCATTCTGTAAATATTTCAAGTCAGTTTTTAATGCAAACCAGCCGTTGTTCCTGCAAAATTCTTTGAAATGCTCCGTTTGACAGTCCGGGTACATTCTATGGCACAAAACCGGGAGAAACTAGGAAATGAAGTAACAAGTGAGTTTGGATGCTTTGATTCTTCAGGCGAGAAAGGAAGGTAAAATAAAACATAAAACATGGTCTCCCTAATCAGAGGCGACTAAACGGGCAAGGAAGACCTCCCTCGGGGCCTGCAGAGTGCGGGGATTCCGTGCCAGGGGAGCCTGAGGCCTGGGGAAGCGAGTACCCGGGGGACGACAGCGAAGACGTCGCCTGGAAACCCCCGCGGCTCAGACGCGCTCGGTCTCGAGCTCCAGGACTGGGACCGCCGACAGCAAGCCGAAGCTTTTACTACTCTTCCCGCGGGCCGCAGGGCCTCCTACCACCAAACCGGCTGGGCCCTCCCCCGCGGATCCTTTACCTAGCCGCGCCTCCTTCCCAGCTTCCCCGGCGGCGGCGCCGTGACATCACTTCCGGTCGCCGGCGCGCACGTGAGAGGAAGTGCCGGTACCCGCGGCCGCCACTCCGACCTGTCTCTTTAGTTACGCTCTTCCGCTGGCCGGCCACTGCCTCCGGCTGTGCTGCAGCTATGGGAGTCCCGGCGTTTTTCCGCTGGCTCAGTCGCAAGTACCCGTCCATCATTGTCAACTGCGTGGAAGAAAAGGTGAGGAGGCGCCAGGCAGCCGCCAAGCTGGGGCCTGGGGCCCCAGCGCGTCTAGGCCGCGGCCTTCGGGGCCAGCCGCCTGGCCCCGAGGGAGTCTTGTGGGAGTCCGCGCCCCCCTGCCAGTCCCGCGGACAGCCACAGCTCAACACGCGGTTGGACGCGGGCACTCGGATTCCGGGCCCTGGGGAGCGGCCTAGCCGGTGCGAAGGCTGAGGAGCGTCCAAATTCGCGGAAGGGCCGCTCCTCCCTGCCCGCTTTTTCCCTGGACCGGAAGGCCCCGCCCACGGCTTTGTTTCCTCCCGGGACCGCGCGTTTTGTGTCTCTAAAGAGGCTCCAAGGATGTTGAGCCCTATCTTCTTGGTCACCTGAGTTAACTGATTAGGGATGTGCGGGTGGTGATTCCAGCCTTTAGCAGCCTTGTGAAATAATCCCGGCGGCGAGCTTTTTGTTTACCATCCGTGCCTAAAAGGTTTCCTCCTAGCGTGCGAGCCCATTTGTTGCGCTTGTTAGATCCTGTTCTGAAAGCAACATGTTAGAAGGTTCTAAGACGAGAAGGAAGTTTGATAAGTTCTCCCTTCTCTATGTGCCCCGACAGCTGGACAGCACGCTTGCTTGTTGAAATTTTCAAGATTATCGGATGCACTGTTAACAGTGCACTTTTTGTTGTTAGTTAACGTATAGGTAGACTTTTGGCCATTCTAGAGTTTTATTTTTATCGTTTCTGTGCTTCCGTCCGAGTTCGATTTTGTACTCTTACTACAGTTTCTGGGCTGGCAAGGTTCAGGGACACATCATGCCTCCCTCACTACTTGGTTTTCGCAGGTCGTACTCGATTGTCACGGTGAATTTATTTCTTTTGCGTAGATTGGTAAGGTCTTGATTTTTTTACTTTCTTGGCTTCTATCCAGTGAGAAACCAAAAGCCTTGTTTTGGTGACATTCTCAGTGTTTCCTGTGTTTTTCTCAAAGGGAAACGGCTAAACTGAATATTTCTTTCCTTTGTAAAACTTTTCTCTAACTTTATTGAACTTGCTCATGGATTAAGCAAATAAGAAGCAACAGTTCTTTGCTTCACCCCTTCCCATCCCATTTCTCCTTTCCAGAGACATACACTTTTAACTGTTTTGGTTCTCTCTCTAAATATGATGCTTATATTTGAATTGTCAGTTTTAGATCCAGCTATTGAATTCCAGCAATGATAGAATTTAGTCACTTAGCCGCCCCTCCCCATATTCCTAATAGAGTAAATCCCTACATTTCTTCTATAAGAACTATAAGTAATATGCCTTTATTTTTTATTACATCACCTGTGTAAAGTATCCATTGACTTGTTACTTTCTAAGGTTGGCATTAGTTTTTCTACCCCCTACTCACCTTCACCTCAAGTTTGACAGCTGTACTTTTACATTGTGGGCATCCAGAATTATCAGGGTTTTGATTATTCAGATTTGTTTTAAAAGCTGAAAAATTAAATAGTATTTTTGATTATTGTCACTGTGCAGATTCAGTTTATGTACTGTGATTCTGTTTCTTGGGCAGTTTTTGTCTTTTTCCTAGTGTTGCCTTTCTTTTTTCCACTTTCTACTTTTCTCCACCCAGACACTATTTTTTAGTTTTCTGTCAAGTCCTCTTTCTTCTTGGAGATTCCTTCTCGGGGTCTTCTTTATTTTTGTTGCAGTTACACCTGGTTATTACCTAGGCTTGTTGCAAGGCTGCATCCTGAGATTTTTTTTTTTTTTTTAATTTCTTTCTTCAGTGAGAGGTAGTGTTTCCTGAATCATCATCTTTCTTGCCTTAAATCCTTCCTTAGTTTTTATTCTCAGTTGAATTCTTAAGAAATACTTTCTGGGATGTGAGTTTTCTGAGTCACTGTAGGCCCCAAAATATCCCCATTCTGCCTTTATATACATTAATGATCATTAGTTAGGTATAGAATTTGAGTTTGTTTTCCTCAAAACTTAGAAAGCATTGATCTTTTGTAGTCTGTCATCTGGTATTGCTGATGACAGTTCAGTGTTAATGTGAATTATTTATTTAACCAGCACTTACGAATCGCCTTACTATGAACCAGGCACTGTTTTAAGCCCTTTACAGATATTATCTTGTTAGATCCTCAGAACAACCACATGACTACTACTGCTACTACAGATGAGAACACTGAAACACAGAAGAGTTGAGTAACATACTTAAGGTCACTCAGCTAACAAATGCTGTAGCCAGTGTGGAAACCAGGAAGGCCATGCTCTTAATTTTTATGCTCTTCTGCTTTCATTCATTTATGTTGATCAGTTTTTCTTTCTGAATTTTTAAAAGATCTTTATCCTTGACAGTGTAAACTTTCATAGTTACGTACCTAGGTATAGATTTTATTTGAAATTTAAAAACATTTTGATCAGAACTTGTTTGACTCTTTGAGTCTAAGTCTTGTGTTCTTCAATTTTAGGGAATGCTCTTTATTTCTTGGTCTTTTTCTCTTCCCTTTTCAAACTGTGGCTACCAGTCCTCCTACACTGATTTATTTTTATTTTCTTTTTCTACCCTTATTTTTGATTGTTCTTTTCCCCTCCCCCAACCTTTCTTCCTTTTGCAGCTTTATTGAGGAATAACTGACATAAAATAAACTGCACATATTTAAAATGTACGGTTTAGTACAATGTGCACATCCGTGGAACCATCACCACTACCACGACAATGAACATCACCTCCACCTCTAAAACATTCCTTCTGTCCCTGTATAATTTCTCTCTCCCATCCCTACCTGCCACCCGTCTTTTCCAACCACTGATTTGCTTTCTAACCCTATAGATACATTTTCATTTTCTGCAGTTTTATATAAATGAAATTATATAATACGTATTCTTTTTTTTTTTAACCTGGCTCAGTTACTTTTATTCACTGTAATTATTTTGAAATTCATCCAGGTTGTTACATGTATCAATAGTTCATTTCTTTTTATTTTTAGATAGTATTCTATGTTGTGGATATACTACATTTTGTTTATTCATTCGCTTAATTGATGAACATTTGGATTGTTTCCAGTTTTTTGGCAGTTACAAAAAACCTTCTGTGAACATCTGTGAACAAGTCTTTGTGTAGACATATGCTTTCATTTCTTTAGGGAAAAGGACTTAGGAAATGGTTAAATTGTATGGTAGATGTTTGATTATTTAAAAAGAAAAACCTATCAGACTATTTTCCAAATTAGTTACACTATTTTACGTTGTCACCGGCAGTATATAAGAGTTGCAGTTGTTCTACTTCCTCACCAACATACTGTATGGTTAGTCTTTTTAGTGTTAGATATTCAAAAGTAGTGTTCCCTTATTGTGGTTTTAACTTGTGCACTTGATGACAAATGATGTTGAGCCACTTTTCAGGTTCTTATTTGCTATCTGTATAAAATCTTGGGTGAGGTGTCTTTTCAGCTCTTTTGATCATTTTTACTTTGGGTCGTTTGTCTAATTAAAATGTAGAGTTTATTACATACTCTAGATAGAAGTCCTTAGTTTGATATATCTTTTCCAAATATTTTCTTTTAATCTGTGGCTTGCCTTTTTACTTCTTAACAGTGTCTTGAAGAGCAAACATTTTGAATTTTTAATGAAGTCTGATTTATTGATTTTTTTCTTTTACATTTCAGCTTTTTGTGTTGTATTTAAGAAATCTTTGCCAAAGCCAAGCTCACTAAGCTCTTCTGTGTTTTCTTAGAGAAGTTTTATAGTTTTAGTTCATCTTATGGTTTCTGTTTTTGGTCTTCTAATATGGTGAATTACATTGGTTTTTAAATGCTAAACCCACCTTACATTTCTTGGATAAAGTCCACGTGGTCATGTTGTATTATTTTTATGTACTGTTGAATTCAGTTTGCTAAAGTTTTTTGAGGATTTTTACATCTGTGTTCATGGAAGATATTTGTAGCATCCTTGTAATGTCTTTGTCTAGTTTGGATGTTAGAATAATGTTGAGCTCAGATTGAGTTGCATAGCTTCTTTAGTTTTCTGGAAGATGAGCTCAAGCAATCTCCCTGCCTCAGCCTCTCAAGTAGCTGGGACTACAGGTGTGCACCACTGTGCCCAGCTAATTTTTCCATTTTTTATAGAGATGGGATCTCACTCTTAATCGGGCTGGCTTGAACTCCTAGCCTCAAGGGATCCTTCTACCTCTGCCTCCCAAAGTGCTGGGGTTACAGGCATGAGCCACTGTGCCTGGCTCCTCTGTTTTCTTTTTGGATGAGCTTTTATAGTTTTATCTTTCACAGATTTTGTCCATTTCATCTAAGTCAAATTTGTTGATATAAAGTTGTTCATAGTATTTTCTTATTAACTCTTTAATATTGTTAGAATCTGTAGTGATGTCACCTCTGTCATTCCTGATGCTTGTAATTTTGTCTTCTCTCTTTTGTTCCATTATCAGTCTGGCTAGACTGTTCTCAGATAACTAGCTTTTTGTTTCATCAATTTTCTGTATTTTCCTGTTTTCTATTTCTTTGATTTCTGCTCTTATTTTTATTATTTCTTTGTTATGCTCACTTTGAACTTAGCTTGCTTTTCTTTGCCTTGTTTGTTAAGGTAGAAGCTAAGGTCATTTATTTGAGACATTTCTTCTGTGATATAGGTGTCGAGTGCTGTAAATTGCCTTCTATATATTATTTAAGCAACATGCCACAAATACTGACATGTTGTATTTTCTTTTCATTCAGTTAAAAATATATTCTGAATTGGTTATTTAGAACAGTGTTACTTAATTTTCAGATATTTGGAGGATTGTCCAGATATTTTTTTCTGTTACTGATTTCTAATTAATTCTCTTTTCAGAGAGTATACTTTGCATAAATTGAATCCTTTTAAAGTTTATCAAACTTGTTTTATGGTTCAGAGTATGGTCTCCGTAAATGTTTCACGTAGACTTGAAAAGGATGTACTGCTGTTGTTGGGTGTTCTGTCAATGTTATTAATGCTGATTGATAGGATATAGAAGACTTGAATAATACTTTTTTTTTCT